AAAATTATTAGATGAAGGAAAAATTGTGGATATGAATTATCAACATTTTAGCAGCATTTTCGCAAAATTGTCTCATGCCACTCTTATGGAGATAATAGGGAGATATGGACCATCCAATAATACAATTAGATGGAATGAGAACTGATAGGAAGGATGAATTCAAAGAATAGTTTTAATGATTCAATTTCAACATGGCAGGATATTGTCAGTAGAGTCTCCCAGGGATCTGTGCTTGGTCCATCATTGTTCAACATTTCTTTTTTTTTTCTTTTTTGCTTTTTAGGCAATTGGGGTTAAGTGATTTGCCCAGGGTCACACAGCTAGTAAGTGTCAAGTGTTTGGTCTGAGGCCGGATTTGAACTCAGGTCCTCCTGACTTCAGGGCCGGTGCTCTATCCACTGCGCCACCTAGCTGCCCTTCAACATTTCTAATCAATAACTTGAATAAAGGATGCATAGGATACACAACAAATTTGGAGATGACACAGAGTTGGGAGAGAGAGCTAACACCATGTATTCCAAGAGTCAGGATCAGAAAAAAATCATGACAAGTTAGAGCAAAGGACTTCATTTAGGAAATGCACCTGTGATTTCACTGACATAAAGGCCTTCCTAAACGAGAAAACTTCTTTCTACCAATGCAGGTTGATGCCTTCTCTGCATCTTGTAATGTTATAGAATTGTCTAGAGCAAGGAGAGCTCAAGTGACTTGTCCAAGCCAAAATCTGTCAGATGTGGCACTTGAACTCTGGTTTCTCTAGCTCCAAGGCCAGTTGTCCCTCCACTACACCACAAGGTTTCCTAAGATGAATCTAACCAGAAGAAATTCAATAGAGATAAACATACAATCTGACACTCGAATACAAAAACTCCCCTACACAAGTATAAGATGGGGAGGCATGGCTAGACAGCAGGTGTTCTGCATAAAGATCTGAGGGTTCTAGTGGATTGCAAACTGAATATGACTCACAGGACAGCTAAGGACATCCATGTGATCTTGGGCTATACTGAAAAAAGATGTTGTTTTCAGGAATAGGAAGGTAATATTCACAATTTTATTGTGACCTCATTGGTGTTCAGTTGTGGCCAACTCTTCGTGACTTCATTTGGGGTTTTCTTGGCAAAGACACTGGAGTGGTTTGCCATTTCCTTCTCCAGCTCATTTTACAGATGAAAAAACGGAGGCAAACAGGGTTAAGTGACTTGCCCAGAGTCATACAACTAGTATTTGAGGTCGGATTTGAACTCAGGTCCCCCTAACTCCAGGGCTGGCAGTCTATCCACTGCAACACATAGCTGCCCATTAGACCTAGCTGATCTCATTACACAGAGAAAGTAACTAAGACTCAAACAGATTAAGTGACTTGAGGATAGTCATCATCTAGGAAGAGCTTGGGACTAAACAATATGAACCCAGGCCTCCACTCCAGCTCTTAAACTATTTCTACTATATTACATAATCTCTCAGAAGCACAGCAGCTCTCAGACACCTATGGAAAAACATACATGTGGCCACTATAAGCCATGGTCCCTGTCTTTCATGAGTTTCCAATCCAACGTGATCTGGAAAAGAGAAATGGGCAGGGTAATGGAGAATCTTTCTCTTCAATAATCAGAAGAGATTTTTATTGAAGAGGAGAGATTCACCCTGTTCTCTTTGGTCCCGGATGGAGGAACCATGGCAAAGGATGGAAGTTGCCAAAAGGCCATGTTAGGCTTGATATCAGGAAGAACTTCCTAATGCTGAGAGCTGTCCCAACACGGGATGGCTGCCTTCAGCAGTGATGGCCCCATGTCTGGCACATAGTAGGAGTTTACCAAATGTTTGATTGATTGATTGATGGCAGAGGCTGAATGACCAACCATGCCTCAGCTACATTATGGAGAGGATTCTGATCAGGCACAGTTTAGCCTAAATGGATTCTGGGATCCATAGAGCTCTCTTCACATTACTTAGCACTTTTCTTCTAACAAACCCAGGAGGCAGTAGAAACCAGGTCTTTTGATTCCAGATGCCCTGCTCTTACCACAGTTATCCTACCTCTCACAGACAAATGAGACCAGAACACTATGCTCTATATATGTCCCTAGTATTTCCACTAGATGGAATCAGAAAGTCTTTGGAGAATACAGTTCTTTTCAGTTGTTATTGAATATATAAAGCAGGAGAAAAGTATAGTTGTCAGAGTGTAAGAACAAACCAGTTGGGTCCCTTGTGATTAGACCTTCAGACCTTTTCTTAATTAAACCCTATGAATGTGACATATAATAGAGAAGGCTACTATTATTAATAAGCAAGAGACAACAAAGAATTGTGCCCTGTGCAAATAATCCAGTATTAGAATGAATTGAGTATTGAATTTGGATTCAGGAGACCTGGGCTCCAGACTCCCATGAGATGCCTACTGGCCATGAGCAAATCACTTAACCTCTGGGCCTCAGTTTAATCATCTGGAAAATGGAAGATAATAACTGTAGACCCTGGGCAAGTTACCTATCCTATCCAAGCCTTAAGCAACTCCCTGGATTTATCTACCAGTGGTACAGTGGAAAGAAAACTGAATTTGGAGTCAGAGAGCCGAGGGATAAATCCCTATCTGCTATTTGCCTATCTACTTGCCTTCAGCATGTCAAATGACCTCCCTTGGACCTCAGTTTCCATTAACTATAAAGTAATAGAAGAAAGTATAACTATAAAGTAATACAAGTAAGCCCCTTGAGGGCAGGGTTGTTAAATGAATAAAAAAGCATTTACAACATGCCAAGTACTGTGCTAAGTGTTGGGGAGTACAAATCCAGACAAGAAGGATGATCCCAGCTCTCAACAAGATTGCATTGCAATAGGAGAACCCAACACATATAGGGGAATGGTGGCCAGGAAGGCATATTTTGAACAGGGAAGTCAGAAGGAATGGTGATTAGAGACACAGAGTAAAGAACTTAGCTGGCCACTCCAGGAATAGCAGTATTGATGTGATTGCTATTCTCAGAGTCTCAGAGCTCGAACTGGAAGATGACGGGGCAGAAGGGGATGTGATACATGCAGAGTATCATGGCAAGCTGATGGCCAGGAAGAGGCATGATAGGCGTGAGACTTGGAAAAACAAGGTGAATGCTCACCAATCAAAACCCAGGAACATAGGATCTTTGAGTCCCTGGCAACTAGTCCTGTGCCTGGCACATAGTAGGCACTTATAATAAGAGTTTGTTGGTTGACTGACAAAGAGCATTGAATTAAATTCTCTCTAAAGTCCCTTCCTGTTCTAAATCTACAAACCTACTGTACCAGTCCTTGGAATCTCTTCCACAGGGGATGCTGTCAGAGACAGCATATTATATTATATTATAAATATATTATATTATATTATATTATATTATATTATATTATATTATATTATATTATATTATATTATATTATATTATTATATTATAATGTTATACAAATCCCAGGGATGGAGCTACATTGGCCCAGTCTCCCTTACACACCAATCCAAAATATAAGAGTTATCAATGAAGGGAGTTTTACACACAACTGGACTCACAGTCTCATCCTTCAGTTCTGTTCATTTCCATAGCACTTACCACATAGCACTGTCGTAAGTAAATTGTTTTGTCTATCTTAAAGCTATCTAGAAATATAAGTATTATGAGGGCTGAGCTGCCTTCCCTGACCACCTGTTCCCCCAAATCATTGCCTGGGTTGGAGACACTAGTTCATGGCATAAATCAACTCAAAAGTCTGGTCTTTCAGATTGTTTTAACTCAGAATAACAATGTGGGTACTTCACAGCTGCCCTCCTGAGACAGTTTGCCGATCCCCCTCCCTGAATCACAGCAGGGCATAAAAAGCTATCGAGGAAGCAACTACAATCCAAAGAGACTCAAAATAAGCAACATCCCTGCCTCTCCAATAGCCAGCTAATAGACAATTAGTGTAACTAAAATTCCCCGTGTAGGGTAATGGGCTTTGAAGTTGCTAAGGGAAATCTCAGCGTGCAATTCTTAACAGAATGCTCCTTCAAGGATTCCACCACTCAGTTAAGACTGCTATGAATGCTGCCTTCTCACTCTCCCTAGACATATTCCCTCGGGGGAAAGAGGGCTTTTGGAAAGAAGACACACAGAAATCACAGCTTCTGGTCAATAATCAATACACCATTTATACCCCCTGAACATACTACACGCATCAGATATAATTCCCTCCTAGAAAGAGCAGCTTGCTTTTTCCAGTGTAAGACAAGAAGGCAGAGAAGAAGGAAGGACTCCAAGCAGGGAATCCCTGAATCTACTCACTATTCCCTGCTAGGGGCCCTGATGAGATCTCACAAGCTAGAAGTTACAGCATCTCAATTCATCCTTCAACATAGGGGAAGTCTTTGGTGACAGAGATACAAAGAGAAAGGCCAACCTATATACACACCTTCCTCCAAATAAAAGCACCCAGGGCCTTTTCTCAGGGACTCTCTTTAGTGTTTTTTTTTTTCACTAACACATTTATAGCAGACCAGTAACATCCCAAGATGTAATAAGAAGCATTAACCCGCAGAGAGAGGGCTCTTAAATTATGTCCTGGTGGCCCAGGGGAGGTAGTGAAAGTCTCAACTGCAAGAGTATCTTAGGACTCGCTGTAGAGTTCCCACCCCTCCCCACCCGCAACCCACTTCTCTCCTAAAATGATATGGAGAACGAAGCCTGTGTTTTCCATATTTCTACCGTTCTCTACATCCCCTCTCCTGATTCTGAACACGTTTCTGTCTTTAACAAGCGGTCCTTCCACCCCCTATTCCCAGCACACACACACACACACACACACACACACACACACACACACACACACACACACACACACACATACACGTTTTCCTTTCAGTCTCATACATTCTGGACCGGGGTAAGTGGAGACAACCCAACCTCTCTCCCTTCCCCCCTCCCCCACACTTTTGGAGGAAAGTTAGCCCGGGCTTCTTGAGGGCACCGGCCCAACCAGGCTCATCTTCTTACCTTTGGAAAACAGAGCGGCCAGGCTGAAGAGCACAGGTGACCAATGCTGCCACAGCGTCCCCATCTCCGACGGGCACATCTTGGAACCGCTGACAGGCGGGCAAGTCTCCTCCCCTGTGCCGTCTAGACTGAGAGGCTAACTGCGGGGTAGAACAGCATCCCAAACAAATCAGCGAGGACCGAGCAGGCAGGCAGGCAGGAGGCGAGTCTACTAACAGCAAAAGCGCCTACGGAGCCCAGAGCCTTCTCTGGAGCACACGGTCCCCATGGGCCCCGAGGCAGTCGGGGGTAGTTACAGTGCCCCGTTTGGGAGTCTCTTCAGAGTCCGCCCAGCCCGCTCTTGGTGATGCCAACCTAGCCCCGAGGACTCTCTTTTCCCCTGGGGGAAAGAAAACAATCAGTCCAGAGTTTGCAACAGGAGAAGGAGAGGGATGGAGAAGGAGCCGCGTCTCCAGCTCCAGGGTGTATGCCAGGGTGTGCAGGGGGAGGGGGATGGGGCCTGGCCGGCCCAAAGTGGCCCCCAGCCCCAGTTGGAGGAGGCTCGGGAGACGGTTAGCTTGCGGTCACCTGGAGTCGGCGGGACTGGGCAGCTGGAGAGCCCGGGAGCCGGGGCTCACCTAGCCCCGGGCGCACGCGGCGGCGGCGGCGGCCCGGGGCGGCCCGGCACTGCGCCCACATGCCGGCGCGCCCCTAGCCGCTTCTCAGAGCAGGGCGTGCGCTGCTGCCACCGCCGCTGCTGGTGTTGCTGCTGCCGCCGCCACCTCCTGCTACCGGGAGCCAAAGTTTGCCTGGGGCCGGAGCGCCCCTGCCCTCCCACAGGCCAGCTGGCTGGCCGGCCTCACCCTCCCCGGCCCTGCACGGGCTAGGGCTCCGGCTCGTGCTGGCTCAGTCCCAGTACCAGCCTAGCCGTTTGTAGTAGAGCGCACAAGTAGCTCCGGAGCCCCGAGCCAGGCACGCGGGAGGGGCTGGTCCTGATGCGGAACAGATGTGCAGCAGAGGTGGCACCGCTGGCTTCTAGAGAGGGGCGCCCTCCTCCAGCTGCCTTGAGCTTCTCCTCCTCCTCCTCCTCCTCCTCTCAGCTGGCTCTCTGTTCCAAGCAGGCAAATATCGGATCAGGAACTGTTATCATCATGAAGATGGATTTTTCCCCTTTAAAAACAGCGATATCTTTTTAAAAGCCCCACCCTTTCAGAGTGACAGCCGTGAACCCCAATCCGCACAGCTAATTCCACCTCTCACCTCCCCCGCTTTCCGAGCTGGTGGGCCAATCACTGAGGCAGGTGGTGGAAAACCAAGTGGATAACCCCTTGTTCCAGGGTTATGGTCAGTCTCCTCTTGCACTTTCCAGGTATCCACAGCAACTTATCCAACAGGTTGGGAGCTTCTCCCCAACCCCTCTACTCTCTTGAATCGCGGACCATCTCTTAGGACCCCAGCCCATAGTTATCCTTCCTCGTTGGGGGAGGGGCAGTTACTGATTTTTAGCTCTGGCTCTGGATTTCCCTGGGATATTGATGCCTCCTTTATTAAGTCGAGCTCCTGAAACCTAAGATGTTTATTTTTTTCTGGTATTGGGGAGCAGGGCGGGACAAGGAGATAGGAGAAGAGGGAGAGTAGAAAAACCTTGTGCAATACTTGAAATAAGGCGGTCTGAATCTTAATCCAGTTCCAAGACTTATTAGCAAGCATAGTGAAATGACTTAATATCTCTGACCAGTTTCTTCATCTGCAAAACGGAGTCATAATACAAAAACAACTTTGAAAGAATTAAGAACAAGGTGATGGGCACAAAAAGATGTATCCATTTGAACATAGCTACTCGGTGGATTCATTTTAGTTGACTATTTATTACAGAGGTTTCCAGCCCCCTTTTACCTCAGTTTTTTATGGGAGGGGGAAGGAATGTTAGCAATAATCATGCCCCGCCCCAGCAAAAAAAAAAAAAGGAGCTTCTGAAACATTGTTTTTTTTATGTACGGAAGAAAATAGCAGAATGTTCAAAAGGAAGCATAGACAAACAGGACAGTTTTGAAAGTAATATATACATTTGTGTGTGTGTGTGTGTGTGTGTGTGTGTGTGTGTGTGTGTGCGTGTGATATATTTAAAGCAAGTGGTATGAAGAGGGCAACAGGTCTGTTCTTGTAAAAGAAGCCCTGGAACCTGGTATTTTGAGGTTCTGCCTTCCTGCTTTGTTGAAGCCATCCTACCCTAAACCATCCTGGTTGGAGGAGGACAACAAAATCATCAGCCTGGCTGCTTAGGATGGTCCTCCTGGGGACAAGGTGAAAATATACGAAGAAATCCGACCTCATAGAAAGCTAACTTGAACCGTTTCGAGCCTTATCATCTATACTTAAACTTTGGAAAATAAGAGATCTTTGCACTCATTTATGTTTTCAAGGAATCTTTACTCCTCTCATCTTCTTCAAGATAAAGTAAATATGAATAATCTTTTCATTTCAAGATTTCTCAGGCTAAGCTTCTCACGTATTAAATGGCAATGCTTGAACTATTCATCTCAAAATCAATGAAAAATAGGGAAAACACTTTGAATTTTAAAGTATTTTATAAGCCATCAAAAATTAAATAGAGTGATAATCTCAGCAAGAAAATTCCTAAGACAAGAATGGGAAACATCTAGATCCTGACAATTTCACTTGGTCCATGGTAAAAGGTAACATAACCATTTCTGCCTACTGTTGCAAATATGCAACTATTTCTCTCTATTGTTGAGAAGTGTGTGGTTTTTTAGAGGTTCTATGTCTAAAAGAAAAGCTGCAATGTGTTTCAATGAAAATCTACCTATAGGTTTACCTACCTTTATTCATGTCCTAATCTTCCTTCTTTCTCTCTCTCTCTCTCTCTCTCTCTCTCTCTCTCTCTCTCTCTCTCTCTCTCTCTCTCTCTCTCCTCTCTCTCTCTCTCTCCCCCTCTCTCCCCTCCTCCTCCTCCTCCCACTTCTTTTTCCTTAAAATCTCAGAGATTAAAAGTACCTTAAATATCTACTCTATTCTACATCTATTGTCTACTCCTGCCCTCAAGCTATGCTTTATGTTTGTGATTTCTTGCCTCTGAACCTTAGCTCAGTCTAATCCTTCTACAGAAATGCCTTCCATTTGTCTTAGGTGTTGAGTTCCTATTCATCCTTTTAAGTCCAATTCAAATGTCACCTTTTATGAGAAACCTTCTCTTAGCCTCCCTTTTCCTTAATTTTCACTCAGACATCACACAGCACTTTGTTTTGGAGCTCTCTGATGTACTTCTAGTATAATATTGAATATTATAGCTATCCGTATTGGGGTCCTGCAATCTCCACGAGATCAAGGAGTAATCTTATTTACTTACTTACTCTTTCAGACCCAAACATAGTGTCTTGAACAATGTAGGATTTTTTTTAATGAATGAATGAAGCTAGTTTAGTACATTCATTTTACAGTTAAAAGAAGGAAAGCCCAAAGATATTCAATAAATTATTGAAAGTCACACAACTAATCCAAAACCTGAATTAGAACCTAGATCTTCCAGCACCCAAGTCCTTTACTGTTTTTACTATGCCAAAAATTGACTTTAATTGGCCTTAGGATAGAAATAAAATATTTTTATTATTAGCTCCATGCCATAGGATCATATTTATTAAAGAGAATTACATGTTCTCTAGCCTTTATTTTAAGAGACAATGAGAAGCATTTTTCTACTTCTCTCTCAAAGACAAAAAAAAAAGCCCTAACAAATTAAATTGCTTTTTGTGTATGTGACTTTTGGAACTGGAAGGAAACACAGTGGCCATACACAGCAAATCATGCAAGGACAAGAAACCTCTCTACATCATATCCATCAAGTGGTCATTCCACTCTGAAGACCTCCAAGATAACTACTACCCATGATTGTAAACTCCCAAGGAGGAACCCTCCCCGGCCTCCCAAGGCAGCCCATTCTCATTCTTAGGAAGTTGGTCCTAATACTAAGCCTAAATCTGCTTCTTTTTAGCTTATGTATATTATTCCTGGTTTTGCCTTCTGAAACCAAGTAGAACAAGACTGACTAATCCTTCTTTTGCATGACAGTATGACTGCTGTCATTACATCACCTTCTCATTCCTGAGGTCATCCCTCTGCCCAGTACATTCCACCCTGTCAATGTCCCAACACCTGGTGCCTAGAAATGGACATAATACTCCAGATGTAGCCTGACTTGGGCAGAAAACAGTGGCTCACAAAAGATCAGAGCTAGGAGAGAACTTTGAGGACATGTAGTCTAACACTTTCATCTTGTAGGTAGACAAACTGAGGCTCAGAAAAGTTAACTGACTTGTTCAGTGACTTGTTTACAGCTAGTAAGGATCGGATGTGGGATCTGAACCCTGATATTTCCAATAAAAAGTCTAGCACTATTCACTATGCTAGTAGCACTGTTGCCTTACTTTTCCTCCAAGTTTTTGTTTCTCCTGTGGGTCAATGATCTTCTATTGAAAAAGCATTTCTCACTATGATAGTAACAGTGTCCATCTGAAAAACTCCATGTGGATACTTTAGGTAGCTGGGTGATAACAATGGTTAGAGCCCTGGGCCTAGAGTCAGGAAGACCTGAGTTCACGTATAGCCTCAGATATTCACTAGCTGTGTAACCCTGGGCAAGTCACTTCACCCCTGTTTGCCTCAGTTTCCTGATCTGTAAATGAGCATCATAGTAACATCTGCCTCCCAGGTCCAGGGTTGTTACAAGGATTAAATGAGATAATAAGTGTAAAGCACTTAGTACAGTGGCTGGAACATCATAAATTCTATATAAGTTTTATTTATTATTATTATTTAGGAGGAAAGGTCATTTCCTGTTTTCAACAGTGGAAACTGCTACCAGAAACACTTGACCAATCAGCAGCGAAAATTAGAAGTAAGGGTGTCTGGGTTCCTCTCACTCTCTTTCCCACATACTGTTTTTGCTCTTCTTTCCCAGATAATTAGTGCAGCTAATTGGAGAGGCAGCAGAGCCTCAGGAAACCACCAAGAAGGAAGCTGGGGCCCACAGCCCTAGCTCTTTTGCCCTGGGAATGTAGGCTGCACATCTCAGCCACCTACTCTGCCTCCCTTCCCTCTTATTAATAAGAAGAAATTTTCTTCACTCTGAGTATGTGTGTTTCATCTTTGGGGCCATATATCAACTTGGAAGTCTAATTTTCTGTAGGTAATTAAACACCACTAATTGTTCATGCTGTGTTGATTTGGCTTTTCCAGTAGAAAGACTTTTTAAAGAAATAAACATTTCTCCCTTCGGTAGCTTTGAGTTAAGTACCAACAGGGTGCAGTAATGAAGACAAGCCTTGAAGACTATTTCTGCCAGCTTGGGAGACCTTGAAGGGTTAAAACAAGAGGCTCTCCCATCGAGGTCCCTTATTCCTCTCTCTACTGTTCCTCTCTATTTATACCTCCCCTGATTCCTTCCTATTGGGTTCCTAGGGAGTAAAATAATAAAAAAAAAAAAAAAAGAAAGAAAGAAAACATCACCCAGTCATAAAGGGCAACTGAATTTTTCACATGGCACAGAGAGCTGTATTAGAGGCTCACTAGTGTAGAAATGGTCCCTGTGAGATACTAAATCTTGAGCCCCATAGGAGAGGTCCTTAAACAAATGGTAGGTAGGTATCTTCCCTTGGCTTCAGATGGTCCTCAAATGTTCTTTTTTCCACTCTTTGGGAAACAAAGCCCAGGACCATTTGCTCCACCATCAATTGAACAAAGTACTAAACTTCATCCCTTTTTTAGGAGAGAGGAGACACAAAGGAAAAATTCCCTGTCATTATCTCTGTCCCTAATTTATTCTGAGACTGGTCACTATTGTGGCCTTTCATTTCTCTGAAGGTAAACTGAGGT